TACATTGTATAGTGGCATTAAGTGCCGTAATGTGCACCTCTGCCTACCCCTTCGGGAATAAAAGGCGTGAATCCGTTATGTATGTATCTAGTATAGACACTGTCGGTGGTGGAACGACCGTAGTGATGATTACTGGCCAAGAGGTGTCGGGTAGCCGCCGTGTCGGACAAAGTATTAAGGGTTTTTTTGACAATACTCAATATTAACGCTAAGTCTGAATTGCGGCATATGACAATCCTACTTTACATGTTACTCATAACGTAGGTAAGTGGAGGAAAGTGTTGTCATGTTTGAGGATTAAAAATTATCGTTTGTAGCTATATTTAATAGTAATTCGATTCGAGCAACTCCTGAAGATGGTCCGTGGAGGAGCATTTTCTGCATAGGAATAAAAACTAAATATTTTCCCAGTTTGTTTGTGTAGAAATTAACTATTAGATAATCAACAAATTCCGACTGTCAGTCTTACTTGAGTTCAATAGGAAGGATCCTTAATACCCACAGCAAATAAAACAATTGCGCTAACAACTCGAATTAAGCGGAAAATATACCGCAGCTATATTCTTCTAGGTAGATAATATTATTTGCCTGACTGCAGTTAATTGCACGGTTGGCGCGGTGGCTGTGGGAGTAGCTGCCGTGCAACGGTTCACGGGATTGATTCCTGTACGGAACAACTCTATTCCTAGTCTGAGTGTCATTTGTATGTGAAATTGTATGTTTGTAAATGCAACCGATATCAAAATCAGGGACGAAGAGCAGGAGTAGGAACGGGGTGGTATTTTGTTAGTAAGAGTCTGACATTCCCTCTCGCCTAACCCAAGGCGGGTTTCCCCACCATCAAAAAAAAAGGCAGGAAAAAATCGTACTGTGGAGCAACGTATTATACATAAAGAAAAAAAAAAGAAGTAAGCAAGCGATTTGCCACACACAAAAAATGGGTTGTTATGGACGTGTACTGTGCACCTCTGTTTACCCTTTTAGGGGCGAGATTTTATTATGTAAATATTTGTGTTAAAACAATATCTTAAGATGGTACTCAAGCGTCAATCAATTGTTTATAATGATTATTTCAACATCTATCATACTATTACGTAGTTTTATTCCACGTATCAATTTATGACGCATCTGGAACAATCTTGACAAGAAATTACTTTTAAAAATAATCTCTTGAACTATAGCCACTAACTAGTTATTGTTATATTCTTTTATGTTTATGTACAGTGGCCAATACTTCAACCTACTTCAATTTGTCTATTTTTGTTATTGGATTTTCGACATTATGTCTAAACTATAGTGTTGAAAATGTAATAACTAAATTTGACAGAAAAGAATAGGTATAGGCATTACCTACCAGTCAACTATAAACCTGTTGGTAGAATATTTTTGCAAAACTGAACGCTGATAAAAAAATCGCAAGCGTAACTTTGCTCAGTTACATACATACCTACATACATATAACCTCACGCCTGTCTCCCATGGCGCTAGGCAGAGACTATGGAACGCTAATTGCTACGATTCTTACATACCTCTTTCGCTTCCTCAACAGTCATCAATCTTTTCATGAATGTTATTCAGTTAAGGGTACTATTAATTTGGGCCTTCTTTAATACCTATATACCGACGGCACCATTCAATCATATACCTAAGCTTTGTATACTTGGTTCATAAATCTGCTTTCATCCATCCTTTCTACATACATTTCTAAATAACTAGACATAATTCTTTAAATAAAACAGTGCGATAAGAAAGTAAAGACCTATGTAAAAGTAACTGCGTTATAATTGTAACTAATAAATAATAACAATACGCGTGTGAATGTGCTATTAATTGTAAATAATAAATAATAATAAATGAGGATAACATGTGTTGTGTGTTATCTCGAGACTTATTATGACTTGTATAGTGACGCGTGCCTAGGCAGGCAACCCAATGTACTGCAATCTTCATTTCTCTTACAATGCACGTGCGTAACTGTCTAGTTTTCAACATAACAGAATATCACGCGTTTTATTATTATCTCTAAACATTCATTATGAAATGTAACGCTCACTTTCACCAGTTACATACGTGTTACAAGTCGTAGTCCCAGTGCTATTATACCTATATAACATTAGGCTTTATTATTCCCGAAGGGGCATGAAGGCATTTAACGCCACTGTACAATGTAACACCCACTTTTCACTATTTTATGTTATGAGTTCCATGTACCTAATAGGGGGTGAGCCTATTGCCATATACTGGGCATAAATTCCAGTCTCCGTGCTACTATTGAGGTTTTTTTTAGAAAACCCAGTAATACTTTTAACTTAACATAACATAACATCACGCCTTTTACCCCGGACGGGGTAGAAAGAGGAGCAAATTATGCCACTGGACAATCAATTTAACACCCACTTTTCAC